TTTGAAGTTCGGAGAGGAGTTGTTGGGTGGTGAATTGGCTTAAAGATGTTTGGTTAATTCTTTTCATGATTTTCTAAATATTGGCTGCTTTTTTTCTTTGGAAGTGTAATCTTTCCCCGTAATAACGGGGGTATCTTGGGGGATAATTAGTCCGTCTGGCTTGATGCTTTATTTAAGGCCTAAAAAGATTACAAAAAAAGGCCGTTAATTTAGGCTTGTTTTCAGCAAGGAAAGCAGTAATAATCACCTTCTTTATTTTGCTTCATCTTTTCGGTTAAAAAATGAGAATAGCAGCCATGGCATTTTTCCGTATCAGGACAATCATCATGAGTTATACTTCGGACTCAAATTGACATAGTGAAGCCGTTATTATTTTGTCATATCGTATCTATTTTGACTTCACCCGAAGTATCTCATCATAATTCAAAATTGCCCTCTGATTTATCTTGTTGAGTGAGGGGTTGGGAGCAGTTGGAGCAGGAGAATTTGGTAATATCCAAATTAGTATCTTGGATTTTATTGCTGGCTCCCATTATTTTCTAATACTTTTCAATTAATTAGTCGGAAAACTTGCCCCGCTCCTGGTTTTCTCTGGCAAAAAAAATGGTATCTTTTGCCTACGTGTTTCTTTTGCTCTATTTTTTGCCAAATGCTTTCATTTTCTAATCAATCTTTAAAAATTAATATCTCTTTAATTTCTGGTTCATCCTCAATAATTACTTGACATCGTCAAAATTGATTGCCGTAATGTTCGGATTTCTTGTTTCTCACCTTATCTAGTTTTCTCTCCTTTATCTTACCAATTAGATCGTAAATTTTGTTATTTGGCATATTTGTCATGAGTTTCTATTTGTTGATTTACTTCTTGGTTTAGGAGTTGGTAAGAGTAGGCTGTAAAACTTTTTCTCTGGCTTTTAATTGGTTCGTCAAAATGTCCCTCTACTTGTAAATAAGAACCTTTTTTGATTTTGGGTTTGATTCAATTTCCTGACTTCTCAAAAAGTCTAAATTTTTTCAAACAATTTTCATTCCAACATCATTTTTTATAATGTTTGACTTCAAGTTCTCCCTCACAAAAAGGACAATTATTTATTTCCATTTCGTAAGTTCCGATATAATTAGGGTCTAGGAATTCCCGAAATTTACTTTTTATTTCATCTTTTATTCTAAAAATGACAGGAACATCTTCGGCTAAATAACCACAATTCTCATTATAATAGCCACAATCGGGCCGACCACATTTAGATTGCTTTTCTCACACTTCTTCACAATATTGGCAATATCTGGTTGTCAGTTTAAAAAAACAATAAGCAGGGGTATCGGATAATTTGGCTCGGGTTCGGATTTGGGAGGTGGTTATTCCTTGTAAGGTGATTAATTTTTTGTCTACTTTTTGCTGTTGTTGGTTAGTAGGGACCTC